TAAGATACATTTTAGTTATATTCGCCATAAATCATTTACAGCTCTTAAGATGCTCATTAATAATAAATTATTTACATTTTTCTAAGATGTTTATTATCAATATTATTAAATTGCTTGTTAATTTATTTATTTATATTAATATATAATATTACAATCTCAGTTCAGCTCACGATTACGATTCAAGATTGAAAATAATTTCTGCGTGCAGTTTACAAAACTGGAGATATATATGCCGCACCTAACAAAAACTTAATTTATTAAGTATTATTTGCTATTTTGAAGGTAAACGAACTATATCTATAAAAACTTTGTACTATCTACTACTATGGAAACAATATTAAAAATTAAAATTTATTTCTCATATTAAAAAAAGAATTTTTTGAAATCTTTGAACCTTTCATATAGGCGAAAGATTTATCATTATTTTCCAAACACCCTATATATATATAAATATATATATATATATATATATATATATATATATACATATATATATATGTATATATTTAACAGTGTAAATATAATAGTTGTGTATATATTTAACATTGCAAATATAATCGTTTAGAAATCATATAAGTCTTTCTGCAAATTATTCATTGCATTTGTTATGATATAAAAGTTTGATCTAAATACTAATTTATTCACGTTTCCAACATACAGATAATAAGATAAATAATTTATATTTGTAAATATTGTAGGAAATAGTGTATATGTATTTATCATTTATTATTTTACCTGAAAATTATATGAAATTATTGGAATAACTGTATACATTTTAATAAATTCAATGAAACTGTCAAAGAAAATAATTATTATTATACTTGCAATTATCAAACACAATTATCACACAATTACATAAAAAGAACGTAATAATAACATATACATTATATACATACATCTTGCATAACTTCGCTTATGAGAAAATCTCATGAAATGTTAAATTTTGATTTTATTAAAACTTTGTATACATGTAAGTTACTATTTAGTAAATATCTGGATTTAAAAAATATTAGTTACTGTTTAAAAACGGATTTTTAAAGGATTTTGGAATTATGTTTCGTGTAAAGCGGTTTTCAGTTTTTTTTTATATACCTCAAAAACTATTCAAAAATACATGTATCTTATATAAAAACATTATGTATCTCATTTAAAAATTTTACAATAAAATTATCTCTATTCATGCATGTCAATAATATTTTAAGAAAACAGTTATTTCAAAAAATGTTTTTATTAAAAAATAATTGTTTTAAAATTATACTCCAGATTAGGGGACCCCCCATTGACTTTGACCTTATGTTGTATGTCAAGGTTATGACTCTGAGTGACCTCCAACAAATTTCAGCCATCGCTCGTTATTCATCAAAAAGTTATTAACAAAGAAGTTTAAAAAAAATAACGTCTCATACTTTCAATACCAAATATTGAATTTGCCAAATTATTAAAATATCCGTACATTTTACGAAATTTAACCAAATCCTCCCTACGTGATTTTTGCTACTAAATGTTCCTACTAATAGGGAGAATTCCCTATGACTGGCGACACTACTTTTTACAATAATATACTAATTATATTTAAAATAAAATTTCTGTTTTAAAATTTAGAAGTTTTTAAGTGGTCGCAAAAAGATGATATTCAAGAAATTGAGAATAGATATATATTTTTTTTTTATAACTTTATTAATATGCAAGGTGTTAATCCTTTAATTATTTCTTAATCTGTTAGAAAACTGATCATAAAATAATTCAAAAAAGGTAAAAAAAATTTTAATTACGCCAGGACTTGCATAATAATTAAGTACATACACATAAAAGTTTTCAGATATTTGTTTCGCAAATGTATCTTTTTATTTATACTTAACTTGATTATTCGCAAAATTTTTAATTTAACATTAATTGTAAGTTGTGATATCGTTTAACAAAGAGTCTGTGTTACTATTGGTGTTTTTTAAAATATTTTTTATTTTATAATATACTTATTGAGTGTTAACATGGCATGGCAGACATTGCACTGGTCTATCATGCCAGAGGTCCCGGGTTTGATCCAGGAACCAAAATATTTACACTCGGAAAAGGCCGGCAACCTTCCAAGAGTATCCTTGCCCATAGAAACACCTCTCGAAAAATCCGCGTTTAGAACCGACATTAAAACTATAGGTCCTATATGCTCGTGGCAATTGAATAATCAACGTGCGCATCATAAGCATATGTGAAAGATGTAACACAGGCTAGAAATATAAAAAAAAGAAGAAGAAGAAGAAGAAAATCTATTAATATTTATATTCAATTGGATATTGTTTTGTTAGTATTAAAAAATTTCAAGCGTTATGAGTAATCGAACTTGTTACGATCTATACACTTGTATAATACACATTCTGTTTGTGAAATTTAATTTTTCTATTATTATGTTTCTGTATGCAATAAATATTCGTTTTGTAAAATTGCGTTTTTTTCATAAATAAAAATCTAAATCGATGTTCTCGAAGATACTTATCATAGTGATTTATAAAGATATGGTGGAGTGATCTGAAAAAATAATACTTTACTCGTATAAGATAATCTTAGATGAGTAAAGTAAATTTGGAAAAATCTTGGGTAATTTCAGAAAAATGTGACGTAATTTTAAATATTCTAAGCTAATATTTGATAATCTGGAATAATTTGAGGTAATATTAGGTAATCTTAAGTAATCTGAGGTAATTTAAAGGTAATCCCCGTATCAAGAGTAATTTTTGTATTATAACCGCTAGTGACCAATCCCTCAGATAAAAATGAATACTTATTTCGATTTTGAAATGCTAATTCTTTAAAATTGGTACATGTTCAATGCATTCCTTTACAGAAATTTAATTTATATATTACTGAAAGATATTAATTAATTACTTACTTGGAGTACTAAAAGAAGTGAACAATGATTTTATTATTTAAAATAATAATTAATACTTTTTTATTATAATTAATTACTCTTAATTACTCGTAATTAATTACTCTTTTTTAGTAAAATTGCCAATATTAGATTTCCAAGTGTGGTAAATATAATTTGATAGAATAAATTTAAAAAATATAACATAGTGTTCAAGTTGTCTATAATGTCTATAATATTGGATAAAAAAAAACAAATGCATCTGGAATACTTTTATATACATACATACTTTTATATACATACAAACAATTAAAATGAATTAAATATCAATTTTATAATGTATATTTTTAATATAGAAATTAACATTTTAACTTTTTTTTTTACAAAATGTAATTTATATTAAATATATACATACATATAACGAAAAATTTAATCCATGTTTATTTAGGCATTATATAAACAAAGTTTTGTAAATAAAACATAATTTTATGCCAATATTATATATAGCTTATTATAGACGTACCTTATTATGTACATATCTTTTAGAATACATACTCTCTGAAATATACAAAGTTTATCAATTAAATTCATCAAAACTGTATAATGCGAATAATCTAATGTAATGTGAAGGTATAAAGTATTATTATTTGAATCACACAAAAAAGTTTCTTGAAGCACACAAATGAATAGAACATATAGGTAACATTGCTGTGTTGTAACTGATACGCGACAGGTGCCTGCTGTTTCGAAACTGCACTTGTAAATAAACTTGATTCATATTTTAATGTGTGTGTGTGTGTGTGTGTGTGTGTGTGTGTGTGTGTGTGTGTATGTGTGTGTGTGTGCTGCGCGTGCGGCGCGTGTAAGACTCGTATAAGTTTTCTTAACATAAAAATTGAATTTTTTATAAACTATTTTATTAAAGAATTTTGTACAAACATTTAATGTTACAATAAATAATAATTTTACTTTTCCATTTGTTAAAAATTCTACTTTCACTCCTGCTTTTATATTACTCCTATTTTCATTTCTTGTTTCAATGAACAAATTTGATTAATTTAAATAATTTACTGCATAAATAGAAAATTTATAACACATATTGACAATATTCTTTATCGAAAATTGCAAACGAAATATAGCACAGGCGCACGCGGATAAATAGCTGTAAATACTTATTTCTCATGTCACGCAAAGCAATTCCATGCGACACGATAGGATCTCATTTGCTAAATATAATTTTCTCGCGCTTCGCGTATGTGTATGTACGACCTCGCTAAACTAGTAAACAAAATCTGTTTGTCGACATGACAGTGAATCAACATATAAATGTACATAAAAATCTGTTAATAGTTTTGTAATTCATGTTATTTATATAGCTTTGGAACAAATTTAAAGTAAATAGCAAGATATTAGCATAGATTATTATACATATCAGTAAAATATATCTTTAAAATATCTCGGCGAAATATATATATATATTTAAATTAACTAATATGATATTGAGAACTCTTCTTTCTACTTTATATTTAGCGATTTAAAAGTATAACAAAAAATATCAAATACGTTATGGCAATTTTTCAAATTCAACATTTCACTTAAACATTTTACATGAAATGTAACATAAATGTATTAAAAATTAACAATATTAATATATGAATGTATAAATTTAGGATATGGGTTATCTGATCATTTTTATTAATTTCTAAAGTTTCTGTTAGTAATAAAAACCTATTTGTATCTTTTTTTTAAAATCATGTCAAAACTATCAAGTTGTACGGCTTATATTATTTAATATTTATTGCAGCTTTACTTATAATCGTAATTCTGCAAAAAACATTCCGTTTATTTTATTTTAAAATGTTATTTCATGATATAATTCATAGTGGAAAGAAACAATCACATGAAACTTAAATAATATACAAGCATAATAATTTTATTATTATACCCATGTCATCAAAATTGAGAGATCATATAATCAAATCTATAATTTAGATGTGTAAACGGAATGATTTTTATCGATATTTCCAATTTCTTTACTTGGATATGATAAAGAACTTCTTAACACCAAAAAGAGTAAGTCTTGTCATAATCATCAAAATAGTTGTAATGTGTGTAGGTACGTATATTATAGAAAACTCACATAAGTTTTCGGATCTCCACTTGCAATCCCTCGCAATTTCCAGTAAAATTGGTTCTGTCAAGCGTCAAGTACCTGACGCAGCACGTTCTCACAGGACTCCCTCGTATCTGTTGGCATTCGCGCACGTGTACCATAGGCGTTATCACGACTACCGAATCACTCCATTATCGCAGCGCGTTGCTCACCGAGTCACATATTGACAGCACATACATCCTTTTACGCAAGTGAGTCGTCCAGCCCTGGACCGCGCAGCCCTCGAGGAACATCTCCGGATGCGTCGATCTTTGAGGCTGTCACGATCCTCGCGCCCCTTTTCTTGTCTCTTCGTGGATATATATTTCTTGATGAAAAACATTCATACATACACTATTGTATAAGAGTTTTCTTCCGTAATCTTAAATTAATTATTAGGCATAAACGGAAGCCGACGTGATCGAAAGAGCTCGTTTCCGCGTTTGAGCGAAGCCGCACAATGTGATAGTCGTCGATGATACATTCTAACGTCCTTTTTCCACGGTCATGATTTCTCTTTACATGAATTCGCGACATATTCGGCCACTCGACATTCGTTTGCTCGTACATCAGAGCGATTCATTACAAGTTCGCTGTGATTCCAGGGACGAGTTCTCATCGGCGCATTCGCAATGTAAGAAAATTGTCAAGATCCGCTGCGCTGTCGCATACGAGTCCAAGCTCTCGATGAATTGCGGCGGAGCAAGCTCCAAAGATTTTCGAACCTTCAAGTCAATTTTGCGATTATCTCTCACTTCCGTCCACACAGCGTTTTGTCTTTTTCTTTCTCTCCTTCACCATGGAGATATATCAAACAAATCCTGGTTCGCGAGTTCGTTTTCCTTCAGTTGATGAATTAAACAGAAATCTCGTTGCTCCTTTAAGAGAACTGCATTATCTTTCTTAAAGAACGATGACTCGATCGGAATGAGATGAAACCCAGAGAAAAAAAGAGAGTGAAGGAGAGAATATAGTGCAATAGGAAGACGGAGGTGATCAAATAGAGATACAGGAGAAAACATAGGAGAAGCAGAGACGAATGAAGGAGAGAAAAAGGCACCTTGGAGCAGACGCGTACTCAGCAAAGCTCGCAGCGTGGCGGGTCGACCGCGACTGAATCGTTGGCGAGTCGACTGGGGTCGAGCTTGAATGAGCGAGCGTACCTCGGGTTCGTGAGTGGGAGAAAGAAAGAGACAAACGTCGGGTAAAGGGATGAGGATAGAGGGGTATAGATGTGTAGTGTTGAGGGAGAGCTTGAATCATATAACTAATGCCACCAGCGAAATTTTCAAAGAATAATGCTTGCAATTTTTAGAAGAACTCATGCTTTTCGAAATAATGACTTTAAGCTGTCTTAAGACAGCTACTCTTCTTCTATGTCATATTTACAATTGAGCCGTTATACTTATATCTGATTCATGTGTCAATGAAAATGTCGCGACCTGCTGCATCTATCAAGACGCATATACGAAAATAATAGGTAAGACGAAAATAAAAATTCTTCTATGGAGATTAAAATACAGCGCAGAAGTTGAAATTTAGCGATTTTAATATCGCCATTAATCGTAGAATGTTCGATTATAATTATATAACATTTTAAAAAAGAAACGTTATTAATACGACGCATATTGATATTAAAGGAAATTTATGCGTTAAAAGAATAAATTGTATTTCTTTAAACTAGCAGATAACTCAAATCCAGGAAAATTATATCGATTTTGTTTTATCAAGTATTTTTAAGACAAAGAGAAATAGAAATGTACGTTGTGTCAGAAAGATTAATCAAACGTGGATATTTATATAACTTACAGTTAGAAGAAAATGTATTATTTATAAGAGAAATAGAGGTAATTTATGATTTATCAATACTCGTTAATATAACAGACACTTTATTATCTATAATATATCGGCTAGATACATAATTGAAACTTTTTATAGTCGATTTATTAATAATACTATACATCAGAATTCCAGCTAACTTCACATTCCATAAATGTTTATGTGAATTTGTCTGTGGAATATTTAATATAATAATATGCTAGTAATATTAATACACCATTCCAAAACAATATGAAAAATACTTAATTTTTAAGATTTATTTGCCAAACTTTATCAAGGGAAGATACCTCATATTTTACAAAAATGTATTTAAGATAAATTTAATACCTCAACGAAGTATCATAGTGTACATTACATTCATTACATTCTTAACATTATTTAAACACATTATATAAAACCATACCATTAATATAAATATAATAATAGACGTTTTGACTCACAAAGTCTTCTTCTCAATATAATTAAATAAACCTACCTATTTAGCTTAACAATATTGCAAATCAAGAATAATTTTTCAGTTGATGATTATTGATGGTGAATTTCAGTTGATGATTATTGATGGTGAATCAAATCAATTCTTAAATTGATGTCCATAATTAAAAGTTACAAAACCCAATTCTCGTTTGAAGATGAGAATTTCATTTAGTCACAGTCAAGATTAATGTCAAGATTACTTTGTATTAATGATGTAATACGATTTCTTAATATAGATTTTCAATATATAATAACGCTTTTCTTTAGTTACAAAGTGATAAAAAGGAAAACGTCACGATATTTCGGACAATATTCCCAAAGCACACATCAATAATAGTTTTGAATTATATGCTGTCATATAGGCTGTCTGGAGTAATATTGGGAGATTGAGATGTGCTTGTTTTTTTAGATGTCACTTTATTTATGAACATCCCTTTAGATCTGGCGAATTCAGGCACAGAGAAAAGATGGGAACACATTAAGGAATCTATTTCTTTACCAAAATCTTTAAAAGCCATAGAATTTATTCTAACCTCTACTTATTTTATTTTCAACAACACAATATATACACAGACATATGACACTCCAATGGGTTCCCCTCTTTCGCCAATTATTGCAGATATTGTTATGCAAGCCTTAGAAAATAGCATATTAAGCACATTATAGTTATCAATATACTTTAGATATGTAGACGATGTATTATTTGTCATTCCTAGGAATGAAATCGAGAATATCCTTACAAAATTTAACGCATACTATCAAAGACTTAAATTTACAATTGAGATTGATGAAAATCATTATCTCAATTTTTTGGACATCTCATATTAATAAAATTTATAAATAAATTCATATTATAATACGAATGAAATGTAATTCCAATAGAAACAACAAATAGAATACTTTATGTTCTTCCACCAATCATTATTGAATGTATGTATATATATATAAATATATATATATTCTCCATCATCCGTGGGAAATGATACATGACGTTTTCTTATCATTTTGTAACTAAAGAAAAGTATTATTATATTATTAGGTGTTGGAATTAATTCGTAGCGTTTATCCGGAAGAAATCATATTATACCATTAATGTCAGTTTTGTATTTTTTATAAAAATTTTTTTTATCAAAATTGTATTAATTCTATTAATTTTAAATTTAATGTGATTTAGGCAAAGTAATTTTGACATTAGTCTTACACTATGGGATTAAATGAAATTCTGATCGTCAAAAGAGAATTGGATTTTGTAACTTTTAATTATGGACATCGATTTAAAAATTGACCTGGTTCACCATCAATAATCATCAACTGATGTGGAAAAATTATTCTTGATTTGCAATATTGTTAAGTGAAATAGATAGGTTTATTTAATTATTTTGAGAAAAAACTCTGTAAGTCGAAACGTCTATTGTTATATTTATATTAATGATATATTAAATTAATTTTAAGATTTTAATAAAACATCTTATATTGCTGGTTTGTTTTTGGTCGTTGATAGTATATATTAATTCAAAGCAATGTATTAAAATTTAAAGGGCTGTAGGACTTTGAAATGTCATTCACAGTTCACAAATTTTATTATTACTATTATTATTATTATTATTAGTTAGAAACTCAAAAGTAACACTTCAAAATAGAAACATGTATATGTAGTTAATGAAGTTTGCATACTGAAAAAAATAAAGAAACAATCATTTTTAACATAAATTGAGTTTCTAACATCATAATAATAATTATATATAAAAATAAAAATTTGCAAACAGTAAATGTGAGACAATATGTTTCGGAGTCCTATAGTGCCCTCTATAAGTTATGGCTAATATCATTCCTGAGTTAGAGCGTTTAATGTCTCCGCGCGTGATCTAAATACTATGAAACAAAAAGAGTCGGGATGACGATAGGCAAAATCAGTCGAAATGTGCAACTCGATTGCAGACTTAATAATTAAATCAAGTAATGATCGAGCTAACAAGTTTCTCGCATGTCAATTAAATTATTTATTAAATAAATTATCCGAACATAAAAAGTTTCAGAACCCCGGGTCTTCAACAAAATTTATATTAATATCATAAATTAATCAAGTGTGATAACAAAGATTAATCGACATTTAATAATTAAATTAAATATGTGATTCAAGTTTGGAGAGTTCGTGGAGCGATAATTAAATGTAAGCCCACACTGAAAAAACAGACAATTGACAATCCATATATACATGTAACCGAAAATTTCCAATGTATGTCCAGGCATTTGAAACAAAGATCGGTCCCAAAAGGGCATCGAATTACTAAGAAAACCCGCGCACCTTCCCGTACGCGTGACCAAAAATTTTCTATGTTCGTTTCTGCGTCTGGTAAAATCTAAAAGTACAAGAACAATGTCTGAGATCACTGATGATAGAAAAAAAATATTTTATTGTTGAGATAGTAGTCCCGGAAAGGCATCGAATGATTAAAAAATATCGCGCGTCCTCCCGTACGTGTGTTCAAAAATTTTCTATGTTCGTTCCTATGTTCGGTGGTAAAATCTAAAAGCGCGAGAGCAATGTTTGAAATCACTGACGATAGAAAAAAAATAATTTGTTCAAATTGAATAATAATAATAATAAAGAATAATAATAATAAATATATTAATAAATAATAATAATATTAGGTGTTGGAATTAATTCGTAGCGTATTATTTTTAATTTTTAATAGTGTTGGATTGTTGCAATTTGCGTGTAATCTCCTCAAGTGAGATTATCGCATTAATCTCCTTCCAGCTAATCCCCTGCCTCTTTTACGCAACTTATATAAAACCTAGAGAGAGATCATAGAATCAATATTAATTTATAATCAAGAGGTGGCGATCACAAATAAAATTTGTATTCTTGGTAGATTTGAATTACAATTTTTTAATAAACATGATGTCTTTTACAGACGTAATTTTTTGCAAATATGTCTTTTGTATATATGATATGTTTTGCAGTTATGGTATTTTTTAAATATATGGTAAAGGTTTTATAAATAATCAATTTATAAAAATTTATTTTTATTATACTTTTAAAATATATTCTTCTAGCTATTTCATTCTGATAAATTTTCTCTATCTCTTATAGTTTCGATTATTTAATTTAATTTAATTTAGTTTATTGCAAAGCTATAAAAGACTACATGTTAACAGAGTAATAGACATAAAGTATGATAGACTATAGATAGATTAATATAAACATAAATAGACAATAGACAATAGTAACTTGTAAATGGTGCGTCAGCAAAATTGCTGTTACAAAGCCTACCAGTAACAAAACCAGAATAAGACAACAATAAGAAGTAAACTAAGAGCTGAAAACATATACACACACACATACACCCATACATATACACTCACACATACACTCACACATACACTCACGCGCATACACCCGCAAACACACTAATTACATCAGTCTCGTTTAAATACTGTGAGTGATGTAATGAAATGCGAGGCAGCGGAACGAAAGGAGGATAGAGAGGGAGAGGTTTTTATTAAATCAGGAAGGAAATTAAAATGTTTGACAGAGGTATAGAAGAAATGGAACTTAGTGGACCTATATATGGGAAAGGATAAGTAATCTTGGTGACAAGAAGGTTAAAAAAGAAATGATGCTCTGAGTTCAATTGAAGGAGACGTCGCAGATATAGAGGAGCGAAGGAGGGAAAATACAAGACAACATAGATATGGAGAATAAAACGTTGCCAAATTTTAAACTAGCCAGATCTCTGATAATAAGGAGATATGTGGTCGTATTTACGAATACAATAGAGAAGAAGCGGAAATAAGAATTTTGGATACGCTGTTCACGATTTAGCAGAAATTGGTTAAGAGCAGGAACGTATACGATATCAGTATAATCAAATGGAGAAATAACAAATAATTGAAAAGTAAGAAGTTTTTGAGAGCAGGAAAAGCGAAGAGGATAAAGAAAACGTAAACGAGCATAAGCAGCCTGACACTTGATGGCCACGTGTGACTCGAATGACCATGAAGAGTCAACATGGACACCAAGAATCTTATTAGAGGAGGAGCGAGTAATTGGA